CATCACAATGTTTTGATTTAGATATTCTGCGGTCGAAAGACGATAAGCGAAATTTTTAATTTTTAATTTTTAACTTGAGTGATTTAATGTAGTTTTCGTAAAATTTTCTCTAAGAAATGTTTTGAGGAATGAAGAGTATTAAGTTAACAGTGATAGTGATAAAAAAAAATACATAAGAAAACGTTACCAAGAGCGTTTTTTTTGAGAATCAAACAGGATAGGACGTAGTTGCATCCATAAATAGACCCAATTTGGGGACAATAGACCGATATTACATACATTTCCCTGGTGAGTTTTTGTCTTAAAAAAAGTAAGTTTTTCAACTTTTTGCGGTTCCTGATAGCAAACGACATGATAAGCATATCTAAGCATACCATTTAGCAGTAGAATATCGTTTGCAGGTAAATTAATTGATGAGTTATGATTAAAAACGTAATCTATGGCTGCATATTAGACCGAGGTTAGGGACGTATACCCTATAATTTAAAATTACACTAATAATATAATTTTATGCACACTAGCGTATACTGTCATGTTCACGGTAAGAACCCAGCATCCATTTATTAGTAAAGGTGAACCCATTGTCAATAAAAGTGGCACTACTAATTAATGAGTAATTTAGTATGTAGTAGTAACTGTTAGCTACTGTTAGCAGAAACTCATTGTTTTTAAAGTATTGTACTCATTAATGAGTAAAGCCGCATTTATTAAAAATAATAAACTTTTACTCATAAAAGGGTATTTGACTGTTACCGTGCAAGCGTAGGGGTTGTTTTCCCTTTTTTATGGCACATACCTGTTGGTCCATATTAGAGGGATTGTTTTCGTTTTGTTGTTTATTTTTATTTTAAAAAGACAGTTCTTACAGCAAACAAAAAATTTCTCACAACAAAAAATTTCATCTCACTAACACACGCAAATTGTACCAATACGAATCCGCCTGGAGGACTATACACGGTAACCGCGAAATAACCCAATAATGACTACAAAGTAAGCATTTTCGAGGGAAACTGGGACTACCCATTAAATGAGTAAAATGTTACCCATTTATGAGTAATACTACTACAAAAACAAGTAGTAAGTATTCATTTTTGAGTAACAAATACTCATAAATGGGAAATATTATTACTCATTTAATGGGTAGTCCAATACTCCCTCGAAAATGCTTACTTTGTAGTCATTATTGGGTATTTTGCGGTTACCGTGTAGGAGTAAAGAGTTACAGAGCTCTCGTCAATAGTCCTCTCCAGGTGGGTTCGGATTGGTGCTATTTGCGTGTGTTAGTGAGATGAAACTTTTTGAATTGGTTGTCATAGAGTCCCTAAATGCGCATTGCAGACAATATCTAAGTAAAGATCAACACGGATTCATAACTGGGCGTTCCACAACTACGAACCTGCTGTGCCTAACGTCTTACATCACAGACAGTTTGATAACTCGGACCCAAACGGACGTTATCTACACAGATCTCACGGCAGCCTTCGATAAGCTGAACCACGAAATTGCGATCGCTAAGCTTGATAGGCTAGGGATCGGTGGAAATCTTTTGAGATGGTTTCGTTCATACCTCACGGAGCGCCAACTGACAGTAACTTTGGGTACTTGTCGCTCAGCAAGCTTCTGCGCAAAGTCCGGTATACCTCAGGGCAGCCATCTGGGACCATTGGTATTTCTCCTCTACTTCGACGATGTTCACCATGTTATCACAGAGCCACGATTATCGTTTGCAGACGATCTGAAAGTTTTTCTGCGCATCCGCTCACTCGCCGACTGCCGTTCTCTCCAAAATCAGATTGACATTTTTGCTGACTGGTGTAGTCTAAACCGACTGGTGGTCAACCCAGCTAAGTGTACAGTTATTACTTTCTCACGCAAGAAACAACCGATTATTTTCAACTACAAACTACTAGGCACGACTATCGAACGGGTGCACTGCGTGAAAGACTTAGGCGTTTTTCTAGACTCAAAGCTGACATACTCACACCATATATCGTATGTCGTCGACAAAGCGTCCAGAACGCTTGGCTTTGTCTTCAAGATTACTAAGAACTTCACGGACATTTACTGCTTGAAATCGCTCTATTGCTCTCTCGTACGATCTACGTTGGAATACTGCTCTGCTGTCTGGAGCCCGAACTACAATTATGGGGCCGAGCGAATTGAATCTGTTCAACGACGTTTTCTTCGCTTCGCGCTCCGTAAGCTGCCTTGGAGATACCCACTTCGTCTTCCAAGCTACGAGAATCGCTGCCAATTGATCAATATTGAGCCCTTACGTATCCGAAGAGATGTTTTCAGAGCCTTAACCGTCGCCGATACTCTGCAAGGAAGAATTGACTGCGAAGCAATTCTGCAACAAGTGAACATTAATGTTCAACCTCGTTCACTACGCAACAGTCTTATGCTGAGACTTCCACTTCTTCGAACTAATTATAGCATAGGGAGCGCTATTTACGGCTTGCAGCTAGTGTTCAACCGAGTAGCGTCGATGTTCGATTTCCACTTGACACGGAATATGCTTCGCCGAAGATTCTCTGCCTTTTTTGCTTACCGAAGGCGCTTGATACCCAACAGCTAAGTGTAAAATTTAAGACTTATAAATTTTTAGTAACTTGACAATGCTTTCCAAGTTATTTTCGTTTGTAACTGTAGTAACTGTAGTATATGTATGTCGTCTGTATAATCTGTACTTTTTTACAACACATCATTGGGACTATTTCTAGTCTGTTGATGCAACCATAACAAACAAATAAAAAAATAAAATGAAATGTTTTGTTAGCTGTGAGAAATTTTTTGTTTGCTGTAAGAACTGTCATTTTAAAGTAAAAATAAACAACAAAACGAAAACAAACCCTACGCTTGCACGGGAACAGTCAAATACCACAAACGAAGTGACAGACGGAGCGGCTCGAAAACTTTGGTGACTAACCTGCTATTGCAATTTTTCAGTGTACCACATGGCAACACCACTACTATTGGATTGTACCACATGGCAACACTACTACTGGATTGTGCTCCCGCATAAACGCGAACCATAAATTGACCTTACCTAAAATGGTTAAAAATTGTTTATAATCCCTGCTAAACTTTAACTGAAATGGTTATGGAACTTTACATGAACGTTTAATGATAAAGTTTCAACCTTATGTATTATGGTTTTTTGGAACTGGACCTTACAAATAATGGGTTGTTAAGAACCATTACCGTTCCAAATTCTTGTTTTCTCCATACATTTTCGGAAAGAGAACTATATTAGAACCTTTTAACTTATGGTTTGAGAACTTTAATGGTAATGGTTATGGTAGTCAGTAAGGTGCACGAATGGTTTTGTATTATCGCTCAACTTTACGTGGAATATATCGTGAATTGGTAATCAGTAAATTACAGGCAACCAATTCGCAATATATTCCACATAAAGTTGATCGATGTTACAAAACCATTCGTGCACCTTACTGACTACCATAACCATTACCATTAAAGTTCTCAAACCATAAGTTAAAAGGTTCTAATATAGTTCTCTTTCCGAAAATGTATGGAGAAAACAAGAATTTGGAACGGTAATGGTTCTTAACAACCCATTATTTGTAAGGTCCAGTTCCAAAAAACCATAATACATAAGGTTGAAACTTTATTATTAAACGTTCATGTAAAGTTCCATAACCATTTCAGTTAAAGTTTAGCAGGGATTATAAACAATGTTTAACCATTTTAGGTAAGGTCAATTTATGGTTCGCGTTTATGCGGGCTAGCATTTTCACCAAATGTATTAGAATGTTTTGGTTCTATCTCTTTCACTCTACTCAAAACTGAAATGCATAAAAAAATGACAAAATGATACGCACTCTTTGCACACTGTCAAAGAATCATTGTACACAAAATCAAATTTGTTCAAATCAAAACAAAAAAACTAACCCATCTGGTGGATGATGGCACAAGCTTCCAAGAAAATTCTATTACAGTGAACCACATTATTTTAATGGATTTCTTCGCCAGTTAGTCGTCTGTCACTTCGTTTGTGCAAATACCCTTTTATGAGTAAAATTTAAGCCATTTTTAATAAAAGTGGCTTTACTCATTAAAGAGTAAATTATTTTAACAACAATGAGTTTCTGCTAGCAGTAGCTAACAGCTACTATTTAATTGGCATAATAAATTACTCATTAATTAGTAGTGCCACTTTTATTGACAATGGGTTCAGTTTACTCATAAATGGATGTTTGATTCTTACCGTGCACATGACAGTATACGCTAGTGTGTGTAAAATTATATTATTATAGTGTTCGTGAGATTCTGCTTGGAGAACTCATTGCCAATTCTAGAGTAACATTTGAAATGGGCCTATGTCCAAAACGTAAACAAATCGGGTTTTGATACTATTCTTTAGCACCGCTTGATAGCTACTAATCGTGTAAGAAAGTTCCGCATAATCGAGAAAAATCATTAAAAATAACTCGATTTTCGAAACGGCCGATCAACGAAATTTTTCGATTCATTTATAGGCCCGCACGCTAAAACGGCCAACCATTCATTTATTTCATTTCATTGTTAAGCCTAGTGACGTAGAAGGGCCGATGATTGAAAAATTTCAAACCAAAGCTAGGCCCTACTGCTTGAGGCAGGGCCGATGATTTGTTTTGAATTTATTTGACGTTGCGAAAAAGCTTAGCAAAGGGCCTACCATTTCTGATGACAAGCACAACGGCTTAACAAAAAGGGCCAATCCATTGAAAGATTCACAAAAAAGGCTTATTAATTTATGAAATTATATTGTTATCGATTTTCATATATTTTTGAAAGGTTTTCGCATATTTTGGATGTTGTATACTGAGATACAGTTACTATTGTTATTGTGAACAATATAAATGCCTAAAATACTTCAATTTTCTTAAATATGAATTGAATAGAGGCGGCCAAAATTTAAAATTCATTTTCTGGTTTGTTTACGTTTTGGACATAGGCCCATTTCAAATGTTACTCTAGAATTGTTTTCATTGATTTACTGTGCCATGTGGCGTTCAATTTTTAAACAAAATCCATTACATAATTTTGAAAATTTAACCAAATTTACGAGTACTACATTAAAGTGTTGTACAAAAGGAATGGCAAATAGTAGGTTTGAATACGTGAAAACCTTTGAACAGTCGGATTCTCTATTGAAAAACTGTTGGATTGTAATAAGAGTCGATGGTAAGGGGTTTCACAAGTTTTGTACAGCGCATAACTTCAGGAAGCCAAATGACAAGCGAGGCTTGAATCTGATGAGCCTAGCGGCGGTACACGTAATGCAAGAGTTCAACGAAATCGTTATTGCCTACGGACAAAGCGACGAATACTCTTTTGTATTTAAAAGGGACAGTTCAATCTACGGTAGACGAAGAGATAAATTAATTAGTTATGTTGCCAGTTTGTTTACATCGGCATATATTTTCAACTGGCAGTATATATTCGAAGATACCGTACCGCTTAAATATCCACCCGTTTTCGATGCCCGTGCCGTACTGTATCCTACAGATGTCAACCTTCGGGATTACCTTAGTTGGCGCCAGGCGGATGTCCATATTAACAATCTATACAACACTAGTTTCTGGAATCTCGTTGCTTCTGGATTGACGAACAACGATGTAAGTTGTCGTGCAATATGTAGTTATTTGTAATTATTTAATATATATATTAAATAATTTTTATATATATATGTCTTCCTTTTTAGGCGGAAAAACGGCTCAGTGGTACACTGTCTAGTGATAAGAACGAAATTCTGTTTAAAGAATTCAACATTAACTATAACAATGAACCCATAATGTTTCGTAAAGGAACTACGCTTCTCAGGAAGAAAGTTAAATTGACTGATGGCAAGTCACTTTCATTGACTGTACCCATATTCGATGACATGATTGTTGATAAATTCTGGGAAATCCATCCAGAATTGTTGGATAGTAAGTTAAATGATACAGATCCACTCGACATTGGTGATAACATCAACCACATACTTCTTCAATACCAAATAGAAAAACATAACAAGAGAAAAGAAGGACCGGAAAGAAAATAAGAATAATAAAGTATTATACCGAGATGTTCAAAGCTCTTAACATAATTCAAATTTTATCTCGGCGGGTGGTTCTTTTCAAACAAAATTAATAAACATTAGCTTTTGGATTATAAGGGATGGTCCATTAATTATGTCACGCAAATTTGGCCCATTTTCAAACCCCCCCTCCCCCCTAAATGTGTGACATGATTAATGGACGACCCCTAACATGTTTTGATAACCATACCTGTGAAAGAATAATCATTGGCTTCATTCAAAGTGTTTTTATGTTACTTCATACGCGAAGTTAGCGATTTTCAGAGTTGGTTGGAAATGCTAACATGAAGCTTTAGTGTGATAATTTATTAGCTAGAGAATGATCTTTTTAGAAGAGAGTAGGTGGATAGTTCCGTTAGAGTACGGCAGTATGAAAATTGAATAGAAGTTGAAAATGAGCGAAGGGCCATTAATGCGACAGTTTTTAAAGATAGATAGGCCTATTCTGCGCGGCGTGTGAGATGAGGTGATGGTGAAGTGACAATTGTCACCTCGGGTGAGGTGGCTTTCCATTTGATTTGCATGGAGACTCACCTCACCCGAAGTGACAATTGTCACTTCACTGTCACCTCACCTCACACGCCGCGCAGAATAGGCCTAAGACGCACTCCAATCATTGGCTATTTAATCTAAATCTGCTGTATTTCGTATGGAACACGAATCCACGTAGGAACAACTAATCAGAATCGGAGTAAATAATCGAAGTATTAAGAAAATTTTTCATCCGGTTGTTACCGTAGAGTTCCAAGTTTTTTTTTCTTTTATTTAACGTCGGTCTCTGTTTTGCAATCTAGTGCCAATCACCGACGGACATCGATTGCCATCCATTGCAGCAATCGAATGTGCAGCAAAGCAGCTTCCAAACCTGCGTAGGATATCGCACCTATTCACGGACAGAAAATTGTCTGCATTGAACCAAAAAAGTATAAGGGTCTGTGCCTAGGGGCAAGATCGGAAGCTTGACGTAGGACCGCTAGTGGACGGAATAAATGTGAAGAGCATTTAGTTCTTTTAATTGATCAATTATCTATTATCTCAACTCTTTCCGTTTTGACGTAGGACTACGTCTTTCGGGAAGATGGGGGTACAATTTATGAAAAGCAAAAAATGAAATCATGAAAGATTTTGAACGTTAATAACTTAGCTACCCCTGGACCAATTTCAATTATTTTATCACCAATCGATCAGAAACATTTCTACGCATCGATAACAATGCTCTTGACTGTTGATTTTCAAATTGAAACTATTGAAAAAGTGGTAAATGTCAAGCATTGTCCAAAAGCTTCTAAATAACTAACAAATCCACCAATTACGTACATGCATGTGCTGCTTCCCCAACACAGTCATCAGAGAATGGTTCCTAGATGAAACAAGTCGAAGTGTCATTCGCCTCCGATCTTCGGGTGTGTACGAATAGGGAGGATACAATTGCGGAACATTTTGTTGCCAATTCAGAACCACACGCCCCCAACGACCACACAAAATGCTGTTTTTTTTTCCTTGGATTTGTTTTTCGTGCTGAGCACCAATGCTACCCACACCCATGCTTGGCATACACAGTTTTGGTCACGAACTGCTCATTTGCTAATAACTTTGCACACAGTTGACGGAACCAAACTTGGAAGCAGGGGATACTCGATATATAATTCTATTCTAACTCTTTTCTGAAATGAACTTGGTGGCCCTGAAAAGGGCCGTTTTGTTACATTGGTGATAAGTTTTAACCTCCGAAACCGTACAGAATGCGTCCCTGTTGCTTCAGAGCGTAGACGACATCCATGGCCGTGACGGTTTTGCGCTTGGCGTGTTCAGTGTAGGTGACGGCATCACGCATATTTTCTAAGAACACCTTCAGCACACCTCGGGTTTCTCAAAGATCAGACCGGAGACGCTTGACGTAACCACGTCGAGCCAGACGACGAATGGCATGCTTGGTACCCTTGATGTTTTTTGTACCTAGAACCTTCCGATGACGCTTGGTGCCTCCTTTTCCAAGCACTTGATGCTTGTTTGTCGTTGTACGGGTGAATCGAATCGAAACCAAGCCTAAAACGTAGATAGCAACCTGTTATATAGACAACCAGCTCTGCCGGTACGGGATGGTCCATTAATTATGTCACGCAAGTTTGGCCCATTTTCAACCCCCCTCCCCATTTTGTCACATTTTTTGTATGAACCTTAATTTTTTTTTGTATGGCTCCTCACAGTTTTCAAAACCCCCTCCCCCTAAATGTGTGACATAATTAATGGACGACCCCTACCATATTTTCTCGCTTCCCATTGGCTATATTATATAGCCAATGGGAAGCGAGAAAATATGGTACCGGCAGAGCTGGTTGTCTATATAACAGGTTGCTATCTGCGCTTTAGGCTTAGTTTCGATTCACCCGTTCAACGACAAACAAGCATCAATTAAGCAAAGGGAAGCAAAGGCTTGGAAAAGGAGGCGCCAAACGGCCCTTTTCAGGGCCACCAAGCTCATGTCAGTAAACAGTTAGAATAGAATTTATATAGAGTTACCCATGATTCACCCATGGGGCCTCCCTTAGCTCAGTTGGTAAAGGCGCAGCTACAAAGCAAGACCATGCTGGAGGTGGCTGGGTTCAATTCCCGGCATAGAAGTATGATTGGACTTGCCACACAATTATACCAATGCAAAAATGGTACAGGCATCGAAAGCTCTTAATTAATAACTGTGGAAGTGCATCTAGTAGAACACTAAGTTGAGAGCACGGTATAAGCTAATATGCGATATGCAATAAGCTTGAAATGCGAAGAAGAAGAAGAAGATGATTCACCCATTCAATTTGTCACTAAATACACCAAAATGATTCAAAAATAAAATAATTTGGTAGGGAAATAAATTATGTTCTATTTGTAGTCTTATCGGTGGGTTAATTTTTTTCCGTTTCACTTTCATTAACTGAGAAGCCCTCATCGTATGCATTCTCCTGCTGCGCGACATCTTCGAAAACGTCCGAACCGTAAAAAATTTCGTAGTCCTACGTCAACAATGCGGTTGTGTCTTGTACACCACCCTCCAACTTTTTTAATTGTAGGCGTACCAAATTTGTAATAATTTTTTCAAAGAGAAAGTTGATTAAGAGAATCAATCAAAATCACTTGTACCCGTTTCCAAGTTTGGTTACAAGATTACAACTCTGGAGAGCATTTTGTGTGGTCGTTGTGGGCTTGTGGTTTTGAATATGGACAGATAAATTCTATTTCAACTCTTTACTGATGTAAGCTTGATGGCCCTGAAAAGGGTCGTTTTATTGAAGAGGACATCCATGGCCAGTTACGCTTGGCGTGTTTAGTGCAGGTGACAGCATCACGGACCTCATTTTCCAGGAACACCTTCAGCACACCTCGTAGATCAGACCGGAGATACGTTTGAAACCACCACGGCGAGCCAGACGACCGATGGCGTTTATCTCAAAGAACTTTGCGATGACGCTTGGCGCCTCCTTTACCAGACCTTTCCCTCCTTTGCCACGACCAGTCAATTGTTGCTTGTTGGGTTAATGGAAGAGTGGACTAGCCACAATGACGTTTATATAAGGTCTGGGCCAAAGGGCTTATTGGTGTTAGTGAAATGTGCAAATGTTTAGTGGTGTTCGTATTTTATTGCAATGTTTATCTTTTTACACGAAACAGCTGTTGGCAGTGACGTATTTCTATCTGTTCTCAGTATGTTGGCAGTGACGTATTTCTATCTGTTCGCAGATGTTCAGCAATGTTTACAACATTTTTGCTTCTAACACCAGCAAGCTGTCTGTTGGCCCAGACCTTATATAAATGTCATTGGACTAGCCACCACCTTCCTACTGCTGCTATTGCTGTTCACCACGCTGTCCAAAGCGAAAATGAGCTAATGCTTTTTTTTTTAATTGAATTGATCTTTATTTCTTGTATTTGTTTGGTTTACATCTATGAATTTTCAAGTGACACAGATGCGTCTTTTCAACTTTAGTTATTTTGAAATTTTAATTATTATTTACTGTTCCTAGTCCTATCAGGCCTGTTAGAGTATGACCAACAATCAATACGAAACTAACGATTTTAAATTGGCTCACCACTTTAGTAGCCTATTGGTCCCAAGCAAACGATTAACGTACCCTATTCTAGTTGAAATTCTATTACTACACTATGTTTGTTTTGATTCGCTATGAAAGTTTGACAGATAACATCAGGGGTGTGTGGATTCATGCAGAACATGCAGGGGTGAGTGAAATAGCTTGGGACTGCTTGGGACCGTTGTTCTGGTGTTCTGGTACTGAGTGAGCCAAAAATAATAATGATTTTCTTCGGGACCCAGTGGTCTTAGAGTTACCTCTATGGTATGACCACCTTGGTGGGATTGGTTTGTTTTGAATTGGAAAAAGGAGACTACTTAAAACTACTATTTACAGCTACAACTCATCTACAACTACTATATACACCTAACCTACTATATACAAATTGCTTATGAAAGCATGTTCTGATGTATTGCATTTCTGCACAAATTTGAAAATCTACTTTCGGAATGTTAGCCTCTTGATGGAGGTCGGAAATGCGGGTATCGAAAGGACGATCAAGGATCATTCTCAGTACCCTGTTCTGCGCTACCTGTATTTTTTATTGGAGAGGCAACAATCGTGCCACCCCTACAGTATACGTGTGGTGCGTGTACATCTCTATCGGTATGTCAGCAGGGTCGACTGCGTAGCAGAGAGAAGGAAGTGCAAAAGAACCATTTTGTTTATTCGTAAATGTGCTCTCGATGTGACAACATCTTAAGTCAATATATTCTTATTCGTATTCTAAACCTGGCCTTTCATTACACTGTAATCCTAAGTCCAATAGGTTATTGGCCCAGTTAAACGTGAAAGTCCGATAGTTTAGTTGTTCGACGCGAAGTGCATTAAAAAATATCGAGAAGAACAGTATTGTAGCGCCGGAAACAAAATGGCGGATACGAAAGTCTCGATTGAGAAACTGAACGATCACAATTATGGCATCTGGAAGTTCAAGATGCGGCTGCTATTGACGCGTGAAAAGCTGCTGAAAATGGTGACC